TCTACTTCATTCTATATCTATTCTCCCATTCTGGAGTATTTGTCAAGATCCACTCATAACTTTGTTGTCTCTGCCATTTCTCATCATAGTAGCTTCGTCTTGTCTGTCTGGCTGTGACACCATCCTTTGTTTATAGATGTTGGAGCTTGGCCTGTTTCCAGAGTAGTCCCGTTTCTTTTACAGTGGAGCTTGTCTTCCTGGCTGCGTTTGTCCTGGATGGAGCCGCCTTTGGATTTGGTTGTATCTATGCTTCTTTTTCTTTGCCTGCTTCTGTCTCCTTGATACCAGTCGGCCTTAGCAGATGGTCACACTGAGTCTGCTGGAGGCTTCTTACTGTTAAAAGGGAGTTTTCCTCTCCACTGCAGCCACATACCTGTTTGGTGTGAGGGATTGCTGAAGCGTCGACGACAAATTGCAAGCGCAGGTCGTCGCCGCAGACTCACCCAGGAGCATGTATTGCAAGAAAATCTGGGCCTTGAGATGACATTTGATTGGTGCTATATAAACAAACTGAATTGAACTATTAATAAATATTTATACCTATTGGTATACCTATTGAACAGAATTAGTTAAATAAAGATCCGTTAAAAAAATAAAATAAAACAAAGATGTCAAGAAAATCAGCTGAAAAGGGTTTTCTAAGGTGCGGCAGAAGGTTCTACAGGCTGCAGAAGAACAGACCCATGGAGACAGGAGAGTTGTGCCCCCAGCAAACCGAGCAAATAAACTTTCTACGGCGTCCAATACTTCGGCCCATTTTAAGTACAGGCAGATCTATGAGATATACTTTTGGTCATTATTTCATAAAATGCATAACCCTTAGGAAAAAGTTCTTCTCCATATTATAACAGTAGCAGCCATTCAAGATTTCCCCACTTTCCTTTATGGGTCCTTGGCTGGTCCCCTAAGAATCTTTTTCTTTTTTTAAATCAATCCTTGTACTAAATTATTATTTCTTTCATATTTTGTGGACATTAAGATCTAAAGAGAAGTGCCTCCTGGTCAGACCCTGTAATTCAGTGAAAGGGTGGAGTCAGAGTAAAACAAATATGCATACCCAGAAGAATGAGGGGGTCACTACAGAGGCTGGAAGTTGGCTGGTGTTTGACTGGGGAAGGGCCATTTTGAATGGCTGCTACTGTAGTTCTGTTGCAGGCTTGTGAAATTTGAAATCTAAAGCCTGTTTCAATCACCTTCAGATGACTCATATGTTA